GCAGATACCAACAAATAAAAATATACAAAGATTGGGTATGGATATTGTCTAGAAAAAAATAAAATAAAGTAATAACAAGACGACAGAAACTTGCAAGAGACAATAGTTTTGGAGCTGTCAACACAAGAAAGCAGTAGCATAGAAAGTGATAACGGGGGAATAACAGATATGGAAAAGGCAGGGGAGATTCAGCATACTGTCACAAGTTATCAACCTATCCTCTAGCGTAGCTAACATTTATTAGTGCCCAGCTTGACTCGGTTCCCTTCCGAAACACCCTAAACATGAGTAAGTACAACTTCTGTTGCTAAATACCCAAGCAATAAACCTAAGCTATAAGCATGATTAGGGAACCCCATTCCTGAGTATCCCTATAGCTATAGAAAAGTGCTAATCACAAGCAAAACAAATCAGCACCCACAAACCTTTCTGGGTCAATACAAAAGCTAGCATACACGAAATAGCAGCCAACAGTAACGCGAAGATTTAAGAAATAAATTCAGATTTGCTTAAAAATAAATGTAGCGGCTAGAGGTTTGGTCTCAAGTCAGTTACAGCATGTAAATCTACCCCAAAATGGGGTTTAGCTCATAATGGATAAAGAAAACAAAATGGAAGAATAAAAAATACAACTTATAGCAAAAAAATAGCTAAATGACAAAGAAGAAGAAGCGGTCAGCTCGTTCTAGCAGGCGAGCTTCCCCTTTCTAGCGTCAGCTCGCCTCCCGAAAATGGTTATATTCCACCCTCTTGTCTTTTTTTAGCTCTCAAACTTTGTCTCCCTTGGACTCTGTGTGTGACAGCTAGGGCAACACGCCCCTTTTATATCGGGTTTTAAACTTAGGGCACCCAGCTGAAAATTGTACGGACATAAGTGAATCCCGTACTTTTGAAATTAACTGTACGGTCATCCATGCTATGGCATTGCTATGCTCTAGCTTTTATATGCTCTGTCTTGGAAATGCTTTGACTGCTCTTCTTTGGTTTAGCACTTCCTTATCTTCTTCGCTCTTCTTTAAAAATTTGTGCAAATGAACCAAAAATACTAGAGTTTATGCTGTTTTTGGCCAAAGTTTGCAAGACTAAGGATATTTAGCTAAGAATTTACATTTTAACACTATTCATGCTAATTATGACCTAAAACCGACACACTTTGACATTTCAATGCACATTTGCACCCAATTAATAACTAGAATAACTCTTTTTTGGAGAGTTATCACCCCCCCAAACTTAAAATCTTGCTTGTCCTCAAGCAAGAATATTCATTTTACCCCTGTTCACAAAAGAAGAACGTTAGAAACCTACACTTCAAACATCCAGCCCTATGCCTCAAACCTTTACTTTGATCATTAATGCTAGAATTACATACTCTGCTATAATACTTCAGCTAGAGCAAAGAAATGAAAGCAGCCTAGATTTGTTCACACTCTGGAAGACGCTATTTCTGCCCAACTCTAGCTTCCTTCTACTTCCCAGCCTCAAGCTTAACTTTTTCTAGAGATTCATTTCTCAAGCC